AAAGTGATTTTGTGAAATTGTGGGAGTATAAGGCATGTGTGTTTAGGTTTAGGTATATTTTATTTGTGATGTAGGTCAAGTGTATTATTACTTTTCTTCATATTTGTATTTTAGACAAGTAACTAGCTAGGCCAAGCAAACAAAATTATCGCCAAAATTATAATTTTTTTATCTTGAAAATATATAAATACAAATATGCCGAAACCAAATTTCAAGAGTCACTTTATAGCCCTTCATGATTCAAGATTTTTGTACTTTATTATTACATTTTTTGAATGTTTCTAAGTCATGATTAATTTACTATGTTGTTTAGGGCTATCAAGTATTTGTTAAAATATATCAACAAACCTAAAGACAGAAACAATGGTGACTTAGACATCTTAATCAGGTGGTGAAGAAAAAATCAAAACCAAGAAAAATCTTCAGCAACTTGCGTTTGTATAGATGAGATTAAAGCATTTTTAGACCGTTGTTACACCATATCAGGTGAGGCAGCTAGAGACTTTTTAAGTTTGATGTTAGCTTTATTCACCTTTTGTGTTGTGTATAAGCAAAGGTTTGAGGAGAATGACTAAAGAGTTAAGTGTCTAAGTTGAGAAAGGTCAGCAAATGATCTAGAATGACCTCTTTTAATGTCTAAAAATCCTGGGTTAAGGAGCCTAGCTGGTGATTAAGGATACTTGGGGAGTTTGTTAGTTTCAAGTTAAGTATGTTTGAAAAATATGAAAAAATTAGTGAAGGATTAAGTACCTTAACAATTCGGCTAAAACACATTCACAAATTGTCTTGAATTAAACATTAAGAAAGCTTAAAAGATTTAGACCTGAGGTAGATAAATATTACCAAAGAGAGAATTTTTCTTTGTGGGGAAACTTGAACTAACAACCTCCGGCAAAAACTAATCAATGTGTAAGGTCTATGATACACATATCTCGCATATTGATTATGATTGTTGTTTATGAGAATTGACGAAATGCATCCTACCAACTGGTCGGGCCCCGTGACTAGTTTATTATGCAAAAGTTCTTGAACAACCGAAGGAGGAAGGGGGTCTTGGATTCAAAAACTTCCATCTCTTCAATTTGGCACTAGTTGGGAAACAAATATGGAGGATGATCCTTAGGCATTATGGGTCATACTACTTAAAGGGCTTTATTTTCATGATAGCGACCCCTCTCAGCGACGAAAGGGAAAAAGGGCTCTTGGATTTGGAATAGCTTTTGTAATAACAAAAATCAGTTGAAGATTGGATTAATCAGAGACATCATGTCGGGAGAAGGATCGTTGTTCCAATATGAACCATGGATTCCATCTCTTCCTGACTTCTCTATTAAGCACTTGGGTTTGGCACCTTTAAGGGTTAGTGAATGGATCATTCCCACAACACGAGAATGGAACATTGAAGCTATTAGGAACGTTGTCCCAGAGGAGGAGGCTCAAGCTATTTTGAGAGTTCTTATAGGCCCTTCTGATTGTCGAGACAAATTGTATTGGAAATACACGAAAACATGAGCCTATAGTATAATCAACAGCAAAATCCACAACACAATATTAACTCTGGAGAAAGGCCTAATCGAGAGGATTGGCGATGGCTATGGTCTTTGTCACTCCCCCCAAAACTTAGGTTCTTTGTTTGAAAGAGTGCCAAGAAGGCAATTGCTAAACGAGCTTGCCTCTTTTCTCGCAATTGTGCCTCGAATTCTACATGTCAAATATGTGAAAGAGAGGTGAGTCAATTATACATTTTTCTTTCACTGCCAGCACGAAAAAGATACTTGGATGAATTTGGGAACGACGATTCTGTGGCCAACTCAGGAAACTCAATTCATGAATGGTTTTTCAGCATTCGGGATGGTCTTTCCAATGAGCATATTAAGAGGTTTTTTTTTTTTGCTGCATTTGGAGCATTTGGATTGCGCGTGATGGGTTCGTGTTTGAGAACAAGGTCATTTCCCCACCTACTACAGCGACTTTAGCTAACCGAGAGTTTCTGAGTATAAAGGATGCGATGAACAGTACATCATCACACAATCTTCCCAGGGTTGCTAGGTCGTGCTCTCTGCCGGGGGATTCCCGTTCTTACTCCTCACCACCACCGGGCTTCTTTCAGAAGTTTGTGAAATGTGACGGCTCTTTTGTTCTAGTGACACAAATGGCAGCATATGGGACTGCTATTGCTAACTCTCATGGTCAGGTGTATGACGGCAAGGTAGAGAGATTCTTTTGTTCCATTCCAATTCAAGTTGAAGCTTTTGCTATTTTTGGCGCAATCTTCCTGGCAGCATAAGAGTCAGTTCCAACTTTGGTCATCTGACTATCAGGTCATGTCACTCGCCCTTCGGCAAGCTTCGGACTGCTGGCCTTGGTCTTGTCGAGCAATCTTGGCTCGTATCATGATCTTACTCAATTCAACTCCTTGGATTACGGTGGCGTTCGTTCCACAACATCTCAATTCTTTAGCTGATTGGGTAGCATGAAACACTCGTCTTGATTGTCTGCCCATCGATTGGGTTATTGTGGTCGATTTGATCTCTCCTTTGTTGTAATGCTTCACTAAATCGGATGGAATATAAGATAATTCTTATTGTAAAAAAAACAAGTGAAATATTTTAATTTTTTTTTTGTATTTTTTTAGTATGAACACAACATATTACTATAATAGCTTACTTGTTTTTTCATTTCATATAATGTCATATATGTATTATTCTTAGTATTATCATATTATTAAAAGTATCAATTTTATTCTCGTATAACATGTTGCAATTGTTAAAATGAAAGTCGTATAACCAACTCAAGAAGAAAAAAATTTCGTGCCAGAGATTAGGTTTAGCAAAAATTATCACAAGCATGCTCAGGTTTTCTTTCAGTGCTCGAAAAAAGAAAAAAAAAGAGAAGAGTGGAGTGGTGTGAGTGATAATGCGAAAGATGGGTCATATATAGGGTTTGCTGGTGGGAAATGGATCGCGCCATAGAGGAGCAATCCAAATGGTTGTTGATCAGTAGGTGATCATCGACCAATAAGAGCATCAACATGCAGATTGCCTCTCATTGATGAGCCGCCACACATCGTTCAGTGGGCCACGCTAGAGCGATTCACGTCGTTCTGTATAAATCATTAGCGCGCTTCCAACGCAAACCAAGTGAATTGTTATTGTTATAAGCAAGGGTAAGCCATAGTCAAGTCGGGCAGTTGGATGAGTTTCCAACAAATTTGCCTCCAAAGTCCAAACTGGTAGCCATTAGATGTTAGTGATCACAAATGAAATAAATATAGTTAGTGATCTAACGTGAAATATTTAGTAATTTCAGTGACCAAACTTGAAATTTACCCATATCTAATGTATACAACTACTTAAACCGGTTAAACTTCGACCCGACCAATAAATCTCAAATGGGTTAAAGACACATTTGGTCACTGAGATTACAAAATCGGGACATGTTTAGTCACTAGAATAAATTAATATCAAATTTGGTCACTACAATTACTAAAATAGGTCATATTGAGTCACTCTCCGTTAGTCTCCGTCCAACTCCGTTAGTGGAGTCCGTTAAGTGCTGACGTGGCTAACGGATGCGCCTAGTCAGCATCGTTTTGACCCAAAAATCATCATACCCGACCCGCCACGTCAGTTTCACCCGCCATGTCATACACCAACCCAACCATTAACCCAACCCGACCCAAAACCAAACTCAACCCACCTAACAAAAAAAAAAAAAACGCGACCTGTCCCCGCTCAGCCGCGCTCCAAACCAAAACGCCGCCGCCAAACTCAGCCGCAGCGGCAGCACTCTCCCGATCCGCCCCGCGCTCAACAATCCCATCGCCTGGACCGCCCTCGGCTCCACCAGATCCGCCTCCACACCCACCTTCCTACACCAATTCGCGAAAACGGCCCCGATCTTCCCCTCGCAGGCTCCAGATCTCGGCGGCGCGTTGTTGCTCCTCGGTCCCTGCCGCTGGTCCACCGTCTCGCCGCAGCGGATGGGGAATTTCGCAGTGGAACTCCCCGATTCGGAAGGGTTGGAGGACGAGCAGCAGGAGATCGAGTCCATCTCTTGCTCCGAAGAAACGCTCTCCACCTCCGACGAGGAGCAGGAGGCGCAGGCGGCGGAGTGAGGAAGGGATCTGGGTCCGAAAACGGAGTTCTGGGTGAGGCAGCGGCAGGTCCGGCAGAGCAGGAGGCGGAGGTGGCGGGAGACGAGGAAGTTGGCTTGGTGAACTCTGGCGTCGCAGTTGAAGCAGAGGAAGGCGTCGTCGGAGTTGCAGTAAACGTCCGGCGCTCCTGCGCAGAGCTCGCAGATCTTAGCCCGGTCCTCCATTGAATCAAAAAGAATTCAGAAACGAGAGAGGAAGGAAGAATGGGTGGTGATTGTTAGAAGTGATGGGATTAAATAGAAATGGTGGGAAGGTAAAAGGGGGAAAAGAATCTTGTGGTGAGAAATAGAGGGGAAGAGATTTTGGGGAGGGAGGGAATTGAGGAAGAGAGATTCAAGGAGAGAACAGAGAGAGAGAGAGAGAGAGGTTGGATCGGTGGTGTTTTCTGGTGTTTTCGGGAGAGTGCTGCCGCTGCGGCTGAGTTTGGCGGCGGCGTTTTGGTTTGGAGCGCGGCTGAGCGGGGACAGGTCGCGTTTTTTTTTTTTTTTGTTAGGTGGGTTGAGTTTGGTTTTGGGTCGGGTTGGGTTAATGGTTGGGTTGGTGTATGACATGGCGGGTGAAACTGACGTGGCGGGTCGGGTATGATGATTTTTGGGTCAAAACGATGCTGACTAGGCGCATCCGTTAGCCACGTCAGCACTTAACGGACTCCACTAACGGAGTTGGACGGAGACTAACGGAGAGTGACTCAATATGACCTATTTTAGTAATTGTAGTGACCAAATTTGATATTAATTTATTCTAGTGACTAAACATGTCCCGATTTTGTAATCTCAGTGACCAAATGTGTCTTTAACCCAATCTCAAATAATTTGTCCCACCGGCTAAACCAATTAAATCGGTTTGACAACCAAGGTGGCAAGGTCCAAGAGAAGAAGCTGAACCTCAGAAAAAAGAAAATTGGTAAGACTGGAAAGACAGCTTTCGCAGCTTCATTTCATTGCTCGAGCGCCTGAGAGAGAGAGAGAGAGCAGGTAGCGGCGGCACCGGCACCGGCACCGTCGGATGAGAAAGATTTCATTCATTATTGTTGATTTTGTAGAGGAAGCAAGCTTTCTAAAGTCTCTCTCTCACTCCACCAACTGAAATCGTCGAGGTTTGAGGAATCTGTGCGGGCGATCCTTTTCAGAGCTTTCGACTGCGCTCCCACCCCTTAATTCAAATCTCTGCTTGCTAGGTGCGGTGCAGAAACAAGGAAGCGATCCGGCAGAGATGTCAGTGCAGGAGTATCTGGAAAAGCACTTGCTTTCACGCAAAATCGAGGACGCCGTCAATGCCGCCGTCAGGGCCAAAACTCCTGATCCTGTTCTCTTCATCGTATATCCTTTCGCTCTCTTTTCCTTTGCTTCCTCTTCCTCCTTCATGGTCTCTTTTGGTTTCTCGGCCACCAAACGGACTATTGAATTCATTCTATTGGTTTCTTGGCTCTAACAGTCCAATCATATGAAGAAGGCTGTTCCTTCAGTCATAACGAAGATTCACGCCCGGCAAATCCTTGATAGCAGAGGGATTCCAACAGTTGAAGTCGACTTGCAAACTAACAAAGGCACCTTCCGCGCTTCAGCTCCTAGTGGTGATGTTACTGGAATGTAAGCAACCTTACCTTTGCTGAGTTTGGAATTTGATTTTTTCTCTCCTTTTTGCGGTGAATGTAAGAATTTGGCTTGTTGATCACAGGTACGAGGCTGTTGAGCTACGTGATGGGGACAAGGGAGTGTATCTTGGGAACAGTGTGATGAGAGCAGTCAAGAATATCAATGAGAAAATCTCTGAAGCATTGGTTGGTATGGATCCAACATTACAGTCTCAAATTGATCAGGCCATGATAGACTTGGACAAAACAGAAAAGAAGGTGGGAGTGCTGGCTATTTTCTGTTATGCAGCTTTTGTAACTGCTATGTCTATTGATTTCTAGGTAGCGTAACTAGATTTCGAAATTCCCTTTTTAGTGAATTTGCTAATTCTAGACTATAACAAGTTCAGGCATGTAGATTTGGCTTCATATGAGATTTCTATTGGGTCACAGTCGTTTCTCACATCTAGTAATATGCAGGGCGAACTTGGAGCAAATGCCATATTAGCTGTGTCGATTGCTGCGTGCAAGGCGGGAGCTGCTGAGAGAGAGGTATGTCGTATTCTAGTCTGAATATCGTATTGTTTCCGTAACCTATAGTTTTTGTGCTTCCCGCTCATGGAATTGACATTATACATCTCAGATTCCCCTCTACAAGCACATTGCTGAGCTTTTTGGTAACACTAGCCTCACTCTTCCTGTTCCTGCCTTCACTGTCATCAGTGGTGGAAAACATGCTGGAAATAATTTGGCCATTCAGGTAACGGTGTTATTGGATATCAGTCTAGAGAGTGATATGCTTTCGTTGTCAGTGAAGTGTGTCACATCCTTTTAGATGAGTTATCATTTAGAGTCTCGATTCGATCATCTTAATCTCCAAGTCACCTTCATAGCATTAGTTAGAATTTATCATCCATCAGAAAGCTGACGTGTTAATGGACTTGGTGAATTCTCAATTGCATCTGATCAGTTGCTAAACTCTTATGCAACATAACTTTGTTTTGGGGGGATTAAATCCAGGACATCATGATTCTTCCAATTGGAGCCAACAGATTTGATGAGGCATTGCAGATGGGCTCTGAGACATATTCTCATCTAAAGGTGAGCTCCTGTTCTGATTTATATTTTCTTACTCTTCATTGCATGAGAGATCATAGCTTTATCAGTCTGAGACCTACTTTCTCTATTTTTTCATCTGTTGCCACTCTTTTCCGAACATAAGATTAGACTTTCAGAAGTTATGTGAGCTACACAGAATGTCAATGTGAAATAACTAGCATGACTAAAAATGGGGATCTGTTCTCGAGGTTTGGAAGCTTCACCTTCAAAGATTGTTCAAGTTCAGCAAATTTGATTGTGGTACAACTTTTCCGGAGTTGAGAAAGGAATAGGAAGAATATCGAGATGTTGGACTTAGATTAATATCTTTGGACAATGGCGCATCTCAGTGTTAGACACTAAGTGCCTCCTAATATTTTCTATTTTTCTTTGATGGATAAGCACTAGAGAATAATTTTGAACAAGCAGTTATGGTGTAGGCCTGATAGTTGTTATGTTTGAATTTGAGGAATTAAAGCAATTCCCTCTTCCTATTTTTGCATTGCCAAGGATGTTCTTCTAACTGAAAGGTTAGATACATTCTCAATGCTCATTTATTGATTTAATCTGCGTATTAAATATAACAGGCTGTTATTACTGAAAAATATGGCATACATGGATGCAATGTTGGTGACGCTGGTGGCTTTACTCCAAACATCTCAAGGTGATAATTCCTATTCACCATATACTGGGTGGTAATCCGATTTCCTTTCCGTATTTTACGAGGATTTCCGGATCGTGAGCAGAATCTTGTCTATGACAACACCATATACCATCTGTCGCCTTCCCACTTTTACGGGAATTTTCCAACTTGACCACAATCATTTATCCCAGAAAAGAAAATAAGATTAAGGCTTAATTGATGCTGTTGTCATACTTTGCCTTTTTTATAAAAGGTTGTCATTGCAAGTAGAAGCATTGAGGACCTTTTAAGTGTATAGGTCTTTGTTGCTGGCAGTGTTCAAGAAGGTTTGGATCTGGTAAAAGAGGCTATTGCGAGAACAGGATACAAAGACAGGATAAAGATAGCTATTGATGTTGCTGCCACTGATTTCTGCATAGGTAAATAAGCTTCTTGCCTGCCGCATTTTCTTTTAGTAAAGTCACTGGGCTCTTTTTCTTCTTCTTTTTTCCTTCTGACATGTAATTACTAATTATTGTCAAGCATGTTAAAATGTTATAATCTACCATGCGGAGTTAATGTTATATTCAACATGACCTTCCTCGAGAAGTTTCTGGACATATAGTTGTCTTCCACATAGTACTATTCAATTTGTGTCGTGACACTTCATGTATAAGTTGCTCTTCTCCCCAATCTGTTCAGAAGTAGCTGTTTCAGAATAATTGGTGGTAGAAGAGTTTCATCATATAGAAGAACGGTTTGGTGCATGCTAGATCTGAATCCTTTTGTTACTCTTCATGCCAGGCACAAAATATGATTTGGACTTCAAAACGCCAAACAAATCAGGGCAAAATTTCAAGTCGGGGGAGGATATGATTGAAATGTACAAAGAGCTATGTGCTGGTTAGTATAATGCTTAGATTGAAATTTCATTTTCATCTTGGCTAATATTGTAGCTATTTTATTTATATGTCCTACCCTTTCCTTTCTGGTTCTATCTTTGGGACTACAGATTATCAAGTTGTGTCAATTGAAGATCCATTTGACAAAGAAGACTGGGAACACATCAAATACTTTTCTAGCCTTGCACTCTGTCAGGTTTGTTATGCATAAAATGTGTTTGTTTTTCATGGGTCTTCTTTATGCTTCCCGGTATAAGGCCTGGTCGAAGCATTTGTTAGAAGAAGTAGATTAAGGGGTATTGCATTGCTTATTCAGGTAGTTGGGGACGGCTTGTTGATGTCAAATCCTAAACGGGTTGAGAGAGCCATACGCGAATCTACTTGCAATGCTCTGCTTCTCAAGGTATCCTGCTAAGCGCTTAGACTCTACCTGAAGTCCGGGAATTCATCGTGGCTAAAATCCCTTGCAAGTTTATGACACTTCTGTAAACTGTTGCGTTAATAACTGAACATATCTGTTATCTGCGTAATCCAATATTAACCAGCAGAAACGGACATCCTTCATGTCATTGTAACCTCCTGGAATTATGCTAACCAAAATGGCGTGTTTACTAAATCAGGTGAATCAGATTGGGACAGTGACAGAGGTGTTCGAGGTAGTGAGGCTAGCAAAGGATGCCCACTGGGGAGTGGTGGCGTCTCATCGAAGTGGAGAAACCGAAGATTCGTTTGTAGCTGATTTAGCGGTGGGGCTCGGGTTGGGTCGGATCAAAGCAGGTGCTCCTTGCAGGGGAGAGCGAGTGGCCAAGTACAACCAGGTACACATTCCAATTTCCTCTCCAGCAACCACCACAAACACTAAACGCCATCTCCCTCCCTCCCTCTTCTAGCAGTGTGTTCGTGTAATGTCTCATTCTGTGTTCTTTGACGCTGCAGTTGCTCCGGATTGAGGAAGAGTTTGGCGATAATATGAGCTATGTCGGGGAAGACTGGAGATCGATCTGATTCGTTTCGAGGCTCCCCTGCTGGTTTCCATTTTGAACAATAACTGGGAGTTATTCTGCTGGTACTCTTGTGTTTTTCTTAAGGTTAGAGAACGAGTGAGTTTTTTTGGGCATGTTATTGCTTTGTGTGAGAATTTTTGTAGCAGTAGCATGGATGGAGTTGTTGGTATGGTTCCTTTACAAAGGACATGCTCCGATAAAAATCGTTTTGTAAGGCTATAACTTTTACAGAACGCTAGTCTCGCCGGGAGCGGCCGAAAAATAGGGTCAGTCCATCCACGATTCTCGACACGCACGTCCGCGGCCCCTCTGTTTCATGCAAAGGTTACGCACGCGCTATAACGCCATATGCTTTGCCTGGGCAGCAAAAATGGCAAAAATAAAAAGAACATTGTGTTGCTAATCATTTAATCTAATCTCAATAAAATAATTTGAGTTGTTGGTATTGCTAAATTGGTGCTAAGCTGGCGACTTGTGTTATGTTTACATTAACTGCATCGTTTTCATCTTTTCAATATAAGCCTACAAGGTATCTTTTTACTTTTTCTCACCAGAAATATAAGCTACTATCGAGACCCATTTGTGGATACAAGATTGATATTGTTTGTTTATGATGTATGATGCGGGTTTGGAGAATGTGATCTTGAGGATGGGTTCCTACTTTTTTTTTTTTTTTTTGAAAATGAATTGTTTAACCTTGATTTGATCGAATAGCTTCAGTTGTTCAACCTTAATTTGATCGATATATAACTAGCATTGCAAAGTAGTGTTCATTACTCTGAACAGCTGCAACATTTGATCGATATATAACTAGCATTGCAAAGTAGTTTTCGTTACTCTGAACAGCTGCAACATTTGAAGATTGACCTAAAAAAACAAGATAGTCAGTCCCGTAATTGGCTTCTTGGTAAACATGTTAAATACGAAATTGCTAGAATAAACAACCCCAGTAGACCACCAATCGCAACATGTGTTTAATAGAATAGACGGAGTCATTGAGATTCGACTAGAAGACCATCCGGTCGCAGAAAACTCTGATACCATGTCAAGAACCCATTAATTCAAATAATTCAAATTGTTGAAAAAAATTCAGCCATACATCATATACCATTTACTAACGGGAGGGAGCTTATTGAAAATACCACTTGTTGCATTACAATTTATGTACTATTTCTACTTCAAAAAATCCATACGAAACATAATAATAAAGTGAACTGTTATTAGACCTTTTCACACATAATAAAACATGAAACCGAAGGGAAAAACTAAGTTAGACCGGTTGATTATTGACTTGGCCCGCCATTCTTCCCAGGCAACAAAACCCGAACCCGCGGGTACTACTCAACCCGGTCAAAGTGGGTAAAACCCGTGTTGATGGGTTTTGAACCGGGTTCGGTTTTAAACCCTTTCACTATTCACCAGGTTGGGTTGAGTTTGGGTTTAGGTAAACTCGCTCCATGGGTACTCGTCCACACCCATATAATTAATTTTCCCGGTATATTTCAAAACAACTAATCTTCTTTATGTTTGTGGAGACATGTCTACTTTTTTCTTTCTAATTGTGTAGAATGAAGTTGATATTATCGAGTGGGAGTGAAAAAGTCAAAAAGCTTAATTGACAAGGAGGAAGACTTAATAATATTGTTTATGGATAATTTATGATTTGCTTCAATTTTTTTGAGTTTTCTAGATTGGTATTGAACAATTTGTATGGTTGATTTGTGATTTGCTTGAATTTTCTATAATGGTGTTTTATATATGGATAATTTGTATTGAGAGATTGATATTTGACTTTTATTTTGATAGGAACTTGTTATTGTAAATTTTTTACGACAAAAACCCATGGGTACCCATGAACCCGCGGATACCCAACGGGGTTGGGTTGGGTTTGAGTGTTTCAAACCTAGTAGGTCTTACCCCGAGTTTTTTTCACAGATAAACCCATGAATTTGAATTTGAGTTTGACAAAACCCGACCCAACCCGACCTACTGTCATCCCTATTTTTCCTATTTCCTTCTTCCCTCTTAGCATCTCCAACTATGCTGCCAAACAAATCCTAACCTACTAAAATAATTCACCTCATTAATACTACCATACCGAATATCCCCAAACCTCCCTTACTATAGTCGAGTTTGGATGGTAAAAATAACCATACCTTTGATTACTGGTCGAAATCCTGTCTAAGTAAGGTAAAACTCAAATATGAATATTACTAATAATGGATAGGTATTTGTTTCTTACTATCCAACTCAAAATCGTCAATTTCCTATTGCAGCATACATGTATATGTATTTTGTTTAAAAATAATCAATATTATTATCAATATATTTTATGTTTATTATACATATATATTATTTTTCATGGAATTGTATTGTTTATTGTATTATAAATATTTTTCTTCACTCTAGTAATTTATTGTTGTACTTTTTCAATGATGTAATTTCAGTAAATGTGGATATCAAAACTCAATTGAGTATGAATATGATTTTGATGTTCTATTCGATTCTTATATTGGTATGAGTAAAACACAAACAATTTGGATAAGATAATTGATATACACTATACACACGATCCCATGTCATCCTTAATGTCCCTAATAATAATCACTCTCATAAAGAGACTATCTTTTTATCTACAATATATAGATAGCTGTATAATTTTTCTACATTCCCATTCAAATTTTCCTGCAACGAGAGTGAAAGTAGGAAGGATATTTTTGTCTTCACTGTGATCTATTTATTTCTCATTTATTCCTTAAAAAAGAAATGAATACTAGGATTTGAACCGTGGTCATTTTCAATAATGACATGAATCTTAACCAATCAAGCTACATATATTAGTTGTATCATTTTAAATAAAAAACATACATGAAGCTAACATTAAAAAGTAACAACTTTTCAACGGTTAGCTAATGTCACTAAATCTTCGCTCGATAACTTATTGGTGTTTTTATACTTTGATTTTTATATTTTATTCTTTTAATAATACTTTGATACTTAATTTAAATTTTTTATTTATCTTATAATTTTCTATCTATCTTATAAGGTCACTAAAGTTCTATTTATCATTGGTTCAGTATTACATATCGAATTGCAATATCAAATTTGTAGAAGCGATGTTGAACTCTTACATTAGTATTACTTTATAGAACTACCATGAGACAATCATATCCATATCTTTATGCAAACAATATGGGGATGGGTTCTTTGGATGTTTTAGCTAGGCTAACCGTTAAGTTCTAAACATCTTCCTAATCTAACAGAATTGATTGGATTCAACAATCATTAAACGAGGTTGATTTTAATAAGTTGGTTTATTTCCTCCTTTTTTATGTATTAAAATCAATTGTAGAGCAAAGACATGTACATATACACTCTACACAATATATACTACTTGCATGATAAAATTATCGTCCCATTTCAAATTTCCTACAACGAGAGCAAAAGTATGAATGACATTTTTGTCTTCGTCATTATTTATCTTTATTTTGTATAGAAATAGACAAGTATTGGGATTTGAACTAATGTATCTTCAAATATAGACAACAAGAGTCATGATCATGATTGTCAATTCGAGTATGACTCTGCTGGTCAAACCAATTCTACCTAAACCTGAGTATCTCAGTGGGTGCCGAAGGCCCAGTTGGTTGTCTAGCCGGCCTTGGTAAAAGTCGAGTTTATCTATCTCAACGGGAAATCCGACCGAGTTAACCAACTGATTCGAGCATCGGGCCACTTCAAAATGATGTTGTTTTCAACAATTCATATATGTAGCTATGCTGTCATATCATCCTTTTACTTATCACAGAACCACACAACATGAAGTATCACAGACCAGGTTTGACTATCTCATCGTCTCTTCTTCTTGCTTTAGATTTGAGAGCCTACAATACAAGGCCAAACCATCTCAAAAGCCATCATAATCTCGCAATAGTAAATTTCATTTTTCTCCAGGTGCACAGTCATAGAGCCGGTCGACCTCATCTCATACAAATAAGAAGCAAAAATTATTAGAGAAACATGCATTTGGGTTAAAACTTTCTGTGACTAACAGAGGCCAAATTCCTCATTTTAATTATTGTTTAATACTTAATTAAATTTTTATATATATATCTTATAAATAGAGGATAAATTTAAAATCCCGGCCCAAATATCACAGGTTTGAATATTCCATATCGAATTGCAGTGTTGAATATGTAAAAGTGATGTATAATTCTTAAATTAGATCTACTATGACACAATCGTATTCATATCTTCGTGTAAACTACATGGGACTGATTCTTTGAACATTATAGTTCACCTAACCGTCAACTTTTAAACTTCTTCCTATTCTGACATGATTGGATCCAACAATCATTAGGAGTTTAATAATTTGGTTCATTTCACCTTTTTTAAACGTGCTAATGAATTTGTAGGGAAATGACATGTTTTTATATACACTCTACACAATATATAATACTAAAATGAGAAAGTTGTTGTCTCATTTCAAATTTCCTACAACGAGAGTGAAAGTAGAAATGCTATTTTGGCTTCACAATTATTTTTCAGAAACTACAAATTTCTAAAACTTGGAAATTGTAGCTCAGACTAAAGAATCAGAGCATCGAAAATCAAAGTTCGCAAATTTTATTTCATATATCACTTATTTTAGAGATTTTTCTTTCTATAAACAAAGTAAAATGAAACAAGTTATAGCCAAATCAACAGCTTTGGCTCGAAGACGATGGCTCGCTTCTTCGTGGGAGAAAGGAATACATGCGGTGCCATCAAAGATTTGGAGAGCAAAGAAGAAAATGGTACACCACAAGTTCTTAAATGGGGGCTGTAAAATAGATCATCAAATCACGGGCTTGTGGCCAAATAAAAGGATAAGAGGTTAGTTAGATGGCTGATGATATAGAATTTGTCAATTTGTTACATCTACAGGAGATCTCCAGCGTCGACTTTGGAAACAAAGAATCGAAAGGGAAGAAACGATGCATGGGGGTGGACAAACGAATTGAGTGCATGCGAGTGGATAAACGATGCATTCATTTCTCTTTTCCTTTTAAAAAAATAAAACTAAAAACTTCAATAAAAAATAAAAAATAGTATCGTAAACTTTGGTGTGTTTCTATTCAACTTTTGAAGTTTGTTCCCTTTTCGGGCTTAATCAGATTAATTAAAATTATTATCCTACTAAAATTATTTTATTTTTATTTTTCCGCTGCATTGTTGTAATATTTTCACTAAAAATGTTAGTAAGTTAAATGATATATTAATTAAAATAATATAATATTCACGCTCTTTTGGCACACTCAAATTATAATTCTCAAAGTATATACGCTCTTACGCTCCCGTTCTAGCTCCTGCTATGCTAATTGGTAAGCTAAATCCGTCGAGTCAATTCTGTTGACAAAGAGACTACTATCAGAATTCGCCTTCCCTTGCAAGCACCCCCATGCTCAATTCTCACTTGGCCATTCCTCATTAGTTTCACATCTGACACACACAGGCATCATAGGAGTGCGACCTTCGTCGCGTGATGAATACATGTTGTTGCAGTGCTTCTTAGGAACTCGAAGGAGGATAGCGGAAAGTAGCAGATAGAGAAACCAATGTAAATAGTTCGGGCGAGGAAGAATATTATCCATATATAGATGAGATTTTATAAAATTTATAAATATATGAACAATAGGTGACTACTTCGGTGCACTCACAAAAATGAGTACGTTCAATGCACCCAACTCAAAAACTAGTCTTAAGATGTCGGATTTTGAATTTTAATTTGTTGAATTAGTGTAATATGATGATATAACATATGATAACATCCAATTAGCGGATTACCCTAAACCCTAGACCGCCAATTTTGAGTACTATCCCTAAACCCCAAACTGTAAACCCTAACCCTAACACTAAATCTTTAAACTCTAAATCCTTCAAATTAAAGTAAATCTTTAATGGTTTTTGTGCAAATTCATGTGCGTTAGTGTTCATCACATCATAAGTGATGATTGACATCATTAATTATGACATAAATCACATTTAAAATGACGGTTATGAAGCGAGTGCACTGAATGCACCCAAAAAAGTGAGTGCACAGAAGACCCCACCATGAACAATATAATGACTTCTTCATATATCTGGGCAAAAGCGAACTAAAATGAATGAACCATTAACCCTCAACCCACTTAATCGACCGGGCCAACGGGCTAAACAGGGCTGAGAACCTTTGATCTTTAAAATTCATATATTCTAAAAAATTTGGTGTTCCAATTATTATGATTAAGTCAAATCGATCAATAATTGTGGATTTTCAGAGAGTGGTTGAAATTCAAAAGTCGGTCTTCAAGTTTTTCGTGACAGACAAGTTTTTGCGTTTAATTATTGTTGGGTCGAAGGAAGAGAAAGCGGAACAGATGGAGAATGTGACTGTAGCTATTAATTATTGGGAGTTGCAGATGGAGAAGATAAACCATATAAGTGACTAAATTTAATTTGATAATGCTTATATACTATATATTACAAGGACATGTTTGATTTGAAAAATAATAGAGGGATAGATTTGAGAAAAATGGATAATAGAGTGACAATTTATGTCATTAACTCCACATGGAAAGTCAAAGAGTATATTGGTAGAGTAGAATTTAAGCTTTTATAATGTTTGGATTCTCTTAACTTTGGTACGTGCATTAGTATCTAACATTTAACAACCCTCACTTATTATTCAAACAAGCATATACACTAAATCATAATAATTTATACAACAAGCATTGTTTTTTCGTATTCTTCCATATTTGAGATTTTGAGGCATAATCTTTTCTTTATTCTCTTGATTTTTGTATATACATTCAATTTCTACCAATTCTAGATGACATATATTTCCTTCCAACTCCAAATTTATATGCGATAGTAAAAAGTCCACAAATTTCTTCAAATTATTTTAAAACATGAAAAAAATTATCAACTTAAAATAAAATTCATCCGACCAACATGTCAAGTAAATATTTTAAATATAATTATAAATTAATCAATATAAAAGATAAAACAAAACTCATTCGGTCAAGGACCGAGTAAAATCTAGTTAATATAAAAGATCAAATCTACCAAACAATTGATTTGTTAGACTCCATAGTAAACCATGCATGTTAAAATCTTGGAATTCATTATGAGACAACATTATTTTTATGTAATGTAACGTGGAGGTGGAATCTTATGTCCTCCATCTGCGGTTACTAATATATCAGTTTATTTCGCGGGAGTGCTTCATGATGGTTTTGAGTTACGTAAAATACGTAAGCTTCATCAGAGTTTGTAGGGTTGGTTAACCTCACCAAACCAGGGCGTCCAAAATGCAATCGCATCGCAGCAGACACCCAATCCAACAAAAACTCCTCTTCCCCACCCTACGAGGCTACGACCACTCCTACTTCATTCATAGTTAATGGAACCCTAATAACCTTAGCCTATCAATTCAATTCGCGTCGAAGTTTCAGATCCGTGTATCATATAGATAGATAGATGTGACAGACAGATTCTGAGATCAGAAAACGGAACCCTTTTTGTTTGTTTATCTCTTCGGGGGAAAAAGAAATCGAGATGGGTCGGCTGTTCACGGTGGGGCTGATATCGGTATGGTACTCGTCCAACATCGGAGTGATCATACTGAACAAGTACCTGCTCAGCAACTACGGGTTCCGGTACCCGATTTTCCTGACGCTCTGCCACATGCTGGCCTGTTCGTTGCTGAGCTACGCCTCCATCACGTGGCTCAAGATCGTCCCACTCCAGACCATCCGCTCCGGCCAGCAATTGCTCAAGATATCGGCTCTGGGGCTCATCTTCTGCTCCTCCATCGTCGCCGGTAACGTCTCGCTCAAGTACCTCCCGGTGTCTTTCAACCAGGCAATCGGCGCCACCACCCCGTTTTTCACCGCCGTCTTCGCCTACTTGATGACCCTCAAGAAGGAAGGCTTCCTCACTTACGCCGCCCTAGTGCCTGTCGTCTCAGGTGTCGTCGTCGCCAGCGGGGTAAGCAGCAAAGAAAAGAGGTTGCTTGCAATCATTGCCTGTTCTTGTCTCTCAGCCGCTTGTTTTGTTTTCTCCAGGGGGAGCCGAGCTTTCATCTGTTTGGGTTCATAATGTGCGTCGGAGCAACGGCTGCCAGGGCTCTCAAGACGGTGCTTCAGGGGATTTTGCTGTCTTCTGAAGGGTAGGTTGCTCTGCTCTGCTCTGCACTTGTCTTTTCTGGCTTGCTGCTAATTGTTGTGACATTTGCAGGGAAAAGCTGCACTCGATGAACCTGCTCATGTACATGGCACCAGTGGCAGTTGCCTTCCTTCTCCCGACGGCGCTCATTATGGAAAAAGATGTGGTTGGGATCACAATTGCACTTGCCAAGGATGACAAGAGGTTCCTATTTTACCTGCTCTTCAATGCTTCGCTTTCCTACTTGGTCAACCTGACCAATTTCCTCGTCACCAAACACACCAGCGCCTTGACTCTCCAGGTCTCTATTGCCCTGCCCCCTGTATTAATTCCATCATGATCATCTTCCGAATCATAGTGTCACATTCACAGTTGTCAGTAACTTTCTTCTTTTCGTCGCAGGTGCTGGGAAATGCAAAGGGTGCAGTGGCTGTAGTGCTGTCCATTTTGATATTCAGGAACCCGGTGTCGGTCACCGGAATGCTTGGCTACAGTGTGACTGTAACTGGAGTCATCCTCTACAATGAGGCCAAGAAAAGGAGCAAATAGCAAGTCTTTAGTCGTTTACACTGCCACCATCACACAGACACAACAAGGAAACTAGCGCAAGAGAATACTAGCTTTGTTTGTAGAGCAAGGTGGAAGGAAAACCCACCGGGAAGTCCTTCTGTAGTAGACTAGTAGTAGTAGATGCCAACGTTGGCATTCATTTATAATTAACAGGAAGAACACTTGATGCCCATCTTGATATCAAATGGGAAGCAGAATTAGGCAATTTCAGATTTTCTACTTCGCTATGGACATGATAATAATTTTTCTGCTGGGTTTACACTTTCTGTAAATTAAGTGATTGCAAGCAGCCGCAATTCACTTTTTACCCAAAATAAGGCGTCATTAGATTAATGTTTTACTTCCTGTGTTTGTGAAAACTTTGGCAGATGGATCAGTGAATTAAACTCAGATCAAAGAAGGCAAAAGATAAACTAACTACATGATTGATTGCAGTCATGTCACCAATTCGATTTCAAAAGTTACAACTACTAACTAATTCCCCATGAATGTATCATCGGACTAGCAATCAACAGCTATGTAAGGAACCAAGCATTAGAAAGGTTCAGGCATCAACACATAAACCAACCTAGAAGCATGACACAGACTCTCCAGTGCATCAACAGTAAATCCGGGAAAACTTAGAGAGCAAACCGAAGTCTGTCTAAGACGAGAAACTGATCATATATGAACAGGGAAACAGGGGATCATGCTTCAGGTTTTGTCTCCTCTTCATCGTCTTCGATCTTTGGAGCCAAGTAGTATCTTATGTAACCCATCTCTGCAATCTTGTATTCAACCACAATAGGCAGTTCTGCAGACAAACTAAGTGTGACTGTATTGGACAATGGAGTAGCCTTGGTGAAGGAGTTCATGTATCTCAAAGCAAAGGTCAGGGAGACTGGCTCGTTCATCTCTATGATTGTTGCTTCCTCTGGCTGAAATTTGTTGGGAAAAACAAATCAAATAACAAGGAACTCACCAGTGGTTGTTTGTTGAAGATATCAAACTATAACTTTCTTTTCCAAGATTACAATATCTCTAGCAAAGAGGAGAAAGATACCTTATCAACAGTAGTATTCTGCCTCAGGACGATGTTTGCACTTCCCATATCACCCCGTGCAGAGAATTTCACACCTTCCTTTGTCACGGATATGACGACTACAAGCAAATGCAAAAATCAGCTACCAACATAACAGCAATAAAGCTAGATACTACAATTGGTGGAAAGGAAATAGAAAAAGAGATTACCAGTGTCACCAATGGTGGCAAGATCTCTGCAAATTCTCATAAACTCAGCTGAAGGCATCCTGACAATAGCCTGGTATTCTGCATCTGGGATCCCCAAGTGCTCGCTATCAATGTCCATCAGTTTCATCTCAAAATCAGCAATTTTGTCTTGGGCTGCAGCGTCAAAATGAAGGGCGAAAGCCGAAAGCATAAATGTCAGAAAAGACTAGCAGGAACTGACTTCAAAGGAAATACAAACACACTGTATGTGCACCAACATCTCGCAAAGATATGAGCATTTTTTTTATACCAACTTCCTCTCCAACCTAAACAGCTATTATCACAGCCGCAGGTTCTGAAGCTTTCGTGCAGCGGAACTACATGTCACTATCTTCCTTGAGACTAAGAGTATTAAGGTCTTTACAAGGAACAATTAGCTTCAATCCAAAATCCCATTCTTGAAACTAGGAGAAACCAATGGTGAACAACTCCAATTATTAAAGAAAAATATATAACACCATTAGCTAGCATCAGGATTCCAACTTTAAAACTATCTAATTGTTATCAGGACATTGAATGCTGCAGCTACTGATTGATCTTACATGATTCACACTGCCTTCTGTAGGACTAACAAGTGCCATGGATGAAAGGCCTTTGATGGACAGAAAATTAACAAACTCCAAGTACTTACTAAACTAGATCCTGACTTTTAAGGGAAGCAAAAGCAACCAATCGAATGGAATCAGCGGATTTCGGCATGTACCTAAAGCATTTTATATGGGGGAAAAACTGCACAAGAAATGGGTTCTTGTAGAAGCATATCCTCCCACCAAACCGTCCTAAATCTCAAGAAGGCCTAAGACCCTAATTCCACCACATTTTCAGCCGACCAACCAGAAATACCAGTCACAAAAAAGCTGAAAACTGTAACTAAGGGGAAGGGAGCAGCAGATCTTACTTGGGCTCTCGAACATGAAAGTGACAGTGTCACTGCCGTCGTCACCCTTGATGGTGATGATGTCATCGTTGCCGGCACACTTGAGCATCTTCGCCATGTTCCCGAGATTCATGCCCATGGAGATGTTTCGGTCGCAGCGGAAGTGCTCGAAACCCTCAGCTCTCAGGAGCAGAGCCACAAGGGCGACGTGGCTGGAGTCCATGGCCTGGAGAGCGAAGGAGGCCGACGAGCAGTCGAAGTTGGCGTCATTGACGAGGTCCTTGATTGCATCCATGACCTTCTTCAGAAGGGATCCCTGCACGAGACGGAGTTCCAACATCTTGTCGAGGCGATTCTTCTCCCGCGCAGAGCTTAGGGTTAGGGTTTTGAAAGCGGATTTGAAGGATAGAAATGGAGGAAAGGAGCGGGAGAACGGTTTAGAATGTGGAGGGATTGATTTTATATAAAGCGAATTGAGTCAATGTTTCGGGTTGGGTTTTCGGTTTCGTTGGTAAATTTGGCGGGCTGGCGGAGGCTTTGGGCTTAGGTTTCCCGCCAATGGGGGAACTGGAAACTAGTGGATGATAAATCCGAGGACGGATCAGGTGTTCCAGGAATATGATAATAATTGTGAATCCTGCCCTTAGGGGTGATTTGGTGAATCCTGATAGCAGAAAAAGGCAAGAGATAATAAGGGGTAGCTGCCTGTAGCCTGTGGGTGTGCAAAATGTTGGGTACGGTATGAACTATGAACGGACCAAATTATGAGAATTGCGGTTCAAATGGTAAAAGACTTTTAGAATTACGGATTGGATTTGATATTTGGATAGAAAAAGTTAATAGTATTTATGAAAATTATAGGGTCTATTCTAAGATTGGACTGTAATGTCTTCGGTCTAACTGATTTTATCCAAACATTGATTAATTAAATATAATTCGGTATGGACCAAACCATTTCAAACCACTATATAGTTGTCTAGATTTAGAGAGCAAGATGTCAAGATAATTTAAAGTGAACATGACAATTAAATTTTGATATTTTAAGGTAGTATTAATAAAGTATGTCACTCACAATTAGAAATGGTAAATGATGTTGTTCGGTTAAGATCGAATTGTATATACAGTCTACGGTCTAGATCGAGGGGCTGGAGCACATATCAAAGATCATTACCAAATACTATATAGTTTAGATCATGCTTGTGCCGACTGTGCGGTCTGGTCCAGGACAATATGGAGCAAACATACCACATTGAGCAAAAAATGAAGAATTTATTTGGTCCATCACACAAAAATTTTGCACCAATAATCAAGAGAGAGAAAAACTAGTTTTGTCTTAAAACCTAAATTCCAACACTCGCGCATAATTTTGATACTCTAAATGCAAGTAAATAACAAATACACAAAGTCATCATAGCAACTCAACCTCCAAAAAAGTTATAGATATTAATATAATGTCATATGGAGATGCAATCGTGTCTACTCTCCAGTGAGGTGGTGGTTTGCGCTGAATGAGGAGACGAGATTCACAAAATAGGTTTGGTAACTATCTAATTAATCTAGATCATGAATGAATTGAGATACTTAACTAGTTTTTTACTCGGCCCGTTGGTCGGAGAATTTCATTTTATTATTTATATTAATTAATTTATCTATATGTTTAAAGTTTTGTGAATCTTAATACTTAATAGTTAGCAGTTAGCACACTCGCTTAAGATATTTTTATTCTCTAATCATAGATCATGTTGTGAAGGTTTATCACGTCTCATTTAGGGTCGTATATCAATATGTTTCATTTAAGACACTCAAATTTATTATCTTATACAACATATAATAATTCGTAATTCTCGAGTTTGGATGAACTCTCAACTAATTGATGAGAATTCAAATAATTGGATAAAGATACTTGATTACTGGTTAAATTCAGTATTTCCCAATTGGAACATGGCACATATCGTACCTTTGTTATGATCAAATTCTCTAATCCTCGCTCATTTTCATTGTGGACGTTCATGAAGTCTCGATATAGGATTTTAAGCAAAAATTTGTCTATCAAGGCACTCAAATTTTGTATCTTATACAATACATACCAATTGCTCATTTTTTAAGTTTGGACTAACCCTCAACCCATGGTTGTCTAGATGTTGGTTTAGAATCTCAATCCAAGACATTCACATGAATTATGGATGATTCTCGTCTTAACATGGTCCTCCAATATATAATTTTCCAAATGTTTGAATGTGCATTCGCTATTTTTTTTATCTTTGGTGTTTGTTCATAAAACATTGTGACATTTCACATGCATTTGAATTCTTGGATGTATTGTAGGCACATTTATTGTTAATAAAGAGTTTATTGTACTTTCAACCCTAATGATACCATTGAACTCGGCTCATTGGGTGGAATATGAAAACAATGTTTTTTTTGGCTCGGGTAACTCGATGTAAATACAAATTCCTTGCTCTTATAAACTAAAATATTTTTATTTTGAGACTTCGATATGGGAAAAGTTCTGTTACAACAAAAATTTGGTATGGAATCACTCGCACATATCCATATAGCCAGTGACTTCTCACAATTGTCTTACTGAACTCATCCTTATTAAAAATTCTTCATTTAAACCCAATACATCGGTTTAGACCCTTGTAACTATAAAGGTTTTTGGTTTAGATATCTCAAATAACAAACTAATGTTTATTTATTGCCTCAATTGTCGAATTTGGATTTGTCTACCAAGACATTCAAATATTAAACGAAACAAATTAACCTTTATTTGATTAATTCCTAGGTCAGTGGTTGATAAAAAAAATATTTAACGTACATCCTTAACAAATATTTCTTTATCTTTCACACGTGTCATTTTTCAAGGCATCTCATGTCTCATCCTATGATATAAAGTCAAAGTTCGTCAACAATCATACTTAAGTAATTTTAAAAACTTTGATTTATAATCCTCGACAATTAATAACTCCAAGTCTGAAAATCTTAGCATCTATCTATCATCTATTTTTTTACAAAAAAAATTTATTGATATATTCATGAAGCTATCTCTCTTCATTT